GCTTGGGAGCGCGGTGGCGCTCCCGCCGAGGGTTCGGATCCCACATACAGACCGGTTCCCACTCACTGGCTGAGTGAGGTGCGGACGCAACACCGAGGGTTGCGATCCCGTTGCCGGTCCTGGTCTGGTACGGGCGCGACACTGAGGGTTGCGATCCGTTGCTGGACACGAAAAAAATAAAAAAGAATCAGGCTGTAACCAAGTGAGCTAACCAGCCAGCCCCCGAAGGCTTTTTAACTAACCACTAGTAATATTATAAAATAGTACGTCAGTATTTCATTTCAACAATATTTATTGAGCACCTGCTATATTTCAGGCACCGTTCCATCTACTCTTATAGGATATGAGGATGAAGAAAACAGACAACCTTTGTCCTCAGCGAGTAGGGGGAAAAGATGATAATCATAATACAGAAGAAAATAGTATGGTAGATTAGGAGGTCATAGATGTTACAGGAAAAAATAAAGCAGGGTAAGGGGGTTAAGGAGTCAGCACATAAGTAAATATTAAAGCAGTTAAAATAAAATTTGAACTGAACATTTTCAAAAACATTAATAAGCTGTTCTGTCAGGAACATGTACCAAACATTTGCTGTACCCAAAGCATTTACAGTCCATTGTTATGGGAAGAAAAAAAGAAGTAGAAGGCACAGGTCATGTTCTTGAGGGGCCTGTGATCTGAAGCTGTAGGTTTCTTCTTTCCTCCTCATATTCCACTAGTGTTTGCCATAAATTCAGCAATTCTATACAATGTCCATACATCACTCTTTCTATTCCTGTTTTAAAATCAACTGCTCATGTGACTACCATGGTAGAAATTCCCATCCCACATTGACTCTTCCTGCCCTGCTGTCTGTGTCATTTCCCTATTTCAGGTGGGGGGTAGGGTGGGAAAGAGAACTGTCCTCCATAGTTAGACCTTGCCATTTTCCAATAAATAACGTGGAACACAGAATTTTACATCTTCTCAGGGACCTTAGAGATGATTGAGTACAATGGAAGAAATGGAACCAAGGAAGTTTGGCAATTGAGCTCAAATCATATTGTCATTACTGCAAGAGACAGAAAGGGAGGGCTCTGGTGCAGGGCTCACACTATGTCACCATACAGTCAGAGGCTCTCAAAGCCCTTCACAGTGTTGGAGACTGAACACCCATTGTCTCTCTGCTGCAGGTGGTTAACAGAGGGGACCCCTATCCTCAGGAGGTAGGTGCCACTGTCCAAAAAGTCATGGAAAGGCTGAGTTACTCCAACCCTTACCGACTGGTTTGGCAGTCCAAGGTAGGTGGCTTCTACACATTTGTGGGCAGTCAGCTCTTTTGAAAAAGTCTGTTTTAGAACTTGGTTATGAAATGATTAGATTTGGCTCTTTCACATAGGCCATTTTGAAACCTGATTGCTCACCATAGGCAAAAAGAACTCTGTAAGCAAGATAGAAAGGGGAAATCAAGTGACTAGTTGAGTTCCATTGGTTTAATACTTTATTTTTAGTTGTAATGACAGAAGCTGTTATTTATTTATATCGGGCCATTTTTTTTTTCCTTTTTTTTGGTCTTTTTTTACTGACCGGTAACGGGATCGCAACCCTCGGTGTTGCGCCCGCACCGCGCTCAGCTACTGAGCGGGAACCGGTCTCCACATGGGATCCGAACCCTCGGTGGGAGCGCTGCTGTGCTCCCAAGCGGCGCACTCTCCAGTGCGCCACCGGGCTGGCCCTGGGCCAATTTTTAGAAGGGTTCAAATTTCGATGTGGAAATACCAAAACCCATTCAAGCAGGGATAAAGGGTGGCTGTCACCCTTAACAGGCAGGTGTGTGTGCCCAGGGTGGGGGTGGTGGGTGTGCTACAGACAAGTCAGGAGAAATGGTCCATTTACACAATCATCCTCCTTTCTCGTAGGTTGGTCCAATGTCCTGGTTGGGTCCTCAAACAGATGAGGCTATCAAAGGGCTTTGTCAGAGGGGGAGGAAGAATATCCTTTTGGTACCAATAGCATTTACCAGTGATCACATTGAAACGCTGTATGAACTGGATATCGAGTACTCTCAAGTTTTAGCCAATGAGGTAAATGTTCCCCTCTGGTTTATTAATCCCACCATGATTTGTTTTCAAAGGGAACTTTCTCTGCAGCCATTTAATTGTATCATTCAAAAATATTGTTTACCATATATGTCTGCATGTATTCCATCCTCCTTGTTCTGAATAATACTTCATCTGAGTAATAACCTCAACACATCACGTTGATTTCACATCATCAGTGGGAGAGGACATTTGTACCTTTGTTAAACCAGGTGGCCCAGGGATCGCTGTGGCCAACATCATTTTTAGTTCAGGTTACTGTACCACTTGAAAGAAATAACAACTCCATTTCTTTAAGAAAAAAGAATTGTGCTTCTCACCAATTCTGAGGAAAAAATTTTATTGTTCCATAATTCCTTTTCTTTGCCTAATAGTGTCCTTTTCTTGGGCTATTCCACTGCTGTTTCTCATGGGTTTCAAGGTGTATAGGAGACATCATTTCAGAGAAGAGCGTGGAATGAACGTGGAAGCAGTGTGTGCTGCAATTTCCTTGAGCCCTTCATACACTCACTTAATTAGCTGTTTTCTCCCATGTTGTGATCAATCTGATTATTGAAATGACAAATACCATCCTTGGTGTCTTGCAATGTAAGATGGATGTGAATTGTCACTCAGGGTGGAGAGAAACTATTGTTCACCTGTCTTGTGGCTCCTGCAGGCTGGCCTGAAACCTGCATCTGATTTATAGCTTTGTTTTTGTGGGAAGTGTGGAAGCGTTGGGACCCAGGAAGCCCATTCCTCCCTCTCATCTGCCAGAACTCCTGGCGGCCTGGCCTTGCGGGATACTTCACCCTCTTTGGGACCAGGTGGCAGGTGCAGGGCAGGGTGGGGGCAGAACATGAGCCAGCACCTGACTCCCCCTGGGTTTTGTATGTCCATGCTGGTCATCAATCAAACATAGCTGAAGTTAGTACCTAAATTACTTGTCAGTAGTTCTGATAAAGGATTTGTGGGCGAGTTGTAATTGGCTAAGATGAGGTTGCAGCATTGTCTGTGGATTTCATTTAATGATGCCCACCATGACCTTGGCTAATTGTGAACTTGCTAAAAAGTCTTCCATGAAAGTGTGGTTTATACCAGGGTGTTTGAAAAATGCAGTTTTGTCTATTGAATGACAATTCACATTTATTCGTATTACTAAACCAAGGTTATTCTTTAGTAATCAAATGGATTATTAGTGACTAATAAATTATTCCATATAAGGAGTAAGGAAAAGCATCTAGCTACAATTTATTTCATTATTTTGATGGGAGAATATAGTATGTGTAAAACAACTAACTTACTTTAAAAAGCTATTTGGATTTTTTCCAAAATAGGAATTATTGTTTTTTGGTAACAAAAATAATAAAGATCTCAGACAGTTCAGAGAAGTATAACATAGAAAGTAGAATACACTCACAATCTTACTCCTCAGAGATAACATCTGTTAATATTTTGAAGAAAATTGGTCGCTTTTTTCTTCTAAATGTGTATATTTTAATAAAAATGGTATTCTCCTACACATTTAACAAAAATGGTATCTTATTCTGTTTTGTAATCTCCTTTTTTTTTCTTTCTTAAGGATATATTATCAATCCAGATCAATAAATATAATTAAATCCATATACTTATTTGTAACAGATCCCTGATTTGTATTCATTTAAGATATTTCTAATTTTTTACTATCATACACCACTCTGTAATAAATATTTTGTGTTTCATTTTTCCAATTATTTTCTTAGGAGAAATTCTTAGAAATGGCATTTCGATATTGATACATATTTTCCTGGATTGCTCTCTAGAGATGTATCTGTTGGCTCTCCCATCCACAGTGTCAGAGAATGCCCTTTGCCAACACTGGTTATTCCACAGTTACTGACTTTTGTGTGAAGTTTAGTTTGAGAACTATGTGTTTGCTAAATCTCAACATTTTCCCCATACCAGCCTCCTGATATTAATACTAATCAAAAAGATAAAGCAGCGAAAAGCTAGCAGCAGGAAAGGGAAAGAGAAGATACTAACTAACTGAGTAAATCATAACTAGATAGTTATTTGGGGGATAACTAACTGGAGCAGAGGTGGTACTGAAATAATCCTCAGATTTTTTTCCCAGATTTTTCTCTGTAAGAATATATTTAAAAACCCAACTCTGAATTGGATCCAATCTAGGTCCACTATACATTTTATAGTCCATAAATTAATTTACTGTATTTTAGTACTTGGGATCAAAACCAATACAAAAATTTACTTAAATGAAGCAACATTCTACTTAGATACAGTCTGTAAAAATATGCATTAGAAAAGTAAAATAAAAAAATAATGATTTAAATTGCTTGAGAATTTATCAAGTATAACCTCAAAAATTGTTTGGAGACAAACCATCCGTGGAAAGGTGTAATGGGGTGGGGGAAGGACATAGAAATTGAAGAGCAATTGATGATAATAGAATCATATATAGCTGGCCCAATAACTATTTTTCATGCATGAACACTTGAAGTCAGACTTTGGTTGTGTATGTATATCTGTGCGTGTTTATTTATTTTTCTTGTAGCTGTCAGTTGCTTTAAAAACAAAAACCAAAGAACAAAAGGAAAATAAATGTCTGTGTTTTTTCCTCCCTTTTCTCATTTGATTCAGTGTGGAGTTGAAAACATCAGAAGAGCAGAGTCTCTTAATGGAAATCCATTGTTCTCTAAGGTATCTACAGTGTTACAACCATTTTAGTAGAACATACTGAGAGTAATCCTCTGAGAAACTTGCAGAATATTGGTTTTTCTCACATATTAGAACATTTGGAGTTCCAATTAATTACGAAAGTAAAATTGAATTCTTTATCTACTCACTCTTTTTTCCTTAGATACCCCCAATTTTCTTATTTCTACCCACTTGTAACTATGTCTAATTTAAAACCTACTTTTCAGAGAGAAGGTTCAGGGGGGTGGGGTAGGAGGATTTCACTTTCTGTAAGCTGAGGATTCTCAGGAAAGGAAGATATTGTAGAATTTGGTTCACAACTCCGATTCAAAGAAACCCCAAACAAGAGTGACTGATTATCTGGGCAGTTGGGTGGGAGGACTGTTGGCTGCTGCTGACTGTTCTTGTCTGTCTCCAGGCCCTGGCTGACTTGGTGTCCTCGCATATCCAGTCTAATGAGCTGTGCTCCACACAGTTGACGCTGAGCTGTCCGCTCTGCGTAAACCCTGTCTGCAGGAAGACTAAATCCTTTTTCACCAGCCAGCAGCTGTGACCTCCGCCTGAAGACCACATGGGATTAGGCAAATGCCCAACTTTCAGATACCCCCAATGGGGAGGGGGACATTAGAGATCAAGGAGCAAAGCCACATTAGTACAAGTGCCAGCCTTTAGGCACAAATTTCATGATTTCTTGAGGAGCTGACTCTGAAATCCTTATTGAGGGATTTCTATTTTTATATACCTGTACAGTAAGCATTTATATTCCCTCTGTCTGGGTGAAGTTACTAGTTTGGAATGTCCATGAGGACATTAAAAAAATGAGCTTTAAAAATTTATTTTATGAGATGCACATCTATTTTAAATACAGCTTTTGGTTTTATTGCCCAAAAAACCTCCTGAAAGGGTATGGAGTGTCCCCTGTGTGTGCTGTCACTGTGAATGAGATCTGTTTACAGTTCCATGCATATAGTTGTAGTTCTTTAAATGAACATAGTTGGGTATATGAAATGTAATTTGAAAGAGAAACGTTACCTGGTCTTTCCCCAAGCCTGTGGGTTGCAGAATGGCAGTGAGGTAGTTTGGTTACCTACAATGTCTGCTTTGCCAGTGAGGCCACCATCAATTGTCGTTTTGGCATTTGTGCATGGGTCTCACTTTCCTCACCATAAAACTGAATCAAGTACAGATTTCAGAAGTGCTCTGAGATTCCCCAGGCACACAAGGCTAATAAACTTGTAGAAAGCCAGCGTTAGTTATCCATGCCTTGGTAGGAGTCAGTGGTGCCACAGGGAAGGGGTTCCCGCTGCTTTCTGTCTCCAAGGACAGCGCTGCTGGGAAGTGCTAATGACGAGCATTGTCTTTAAATCTCCTCCCGGACCCTAGCAAGCCTTCCCGGCCAGGGCCAGCATCATCTTTATCTTAGCTGATGTCTCCTTTCTGCACATTTAACAATTATTTTATAAAGCCAACTACATTTTGTAACCTTGAATTCTTTGTTACTTACAATTTTTTATTATAAAAATTATATAGCCATACAAGAGGACATTAGGAAAAAACAAAAAGGAAAAACAACCACTCTAATGCAACAAATGCTCTCATATTATCTTATTTTATGCCAGTCTTTTCCTGTGGATATATTTAATGCCATTGCCACCTTGAATTTGTGAGTGAAATGTTGTTCTAAAAATGTAGAAATAATGTTGGATTAGAATCTGATCTTCTATATTTGAATTTAAATGGATTAAAAGATCTCTGATGGATCCATGAAGAAACTGTAATGATCGCTTTCTCTTTCCCCCAAGCCCTAAAACTTTGCTCTTCAAAAGAGCATTTCTTTTTTTTTTATAGCCATTTCATAAAGTGGAAGTATTAGGGGATTCATAGATTTTCTATAGTCAGGATTTGCTGCTAATAAGTGTTAGGACATCACTGAGGTTTTAACCAGTTTGATTCATGCTATATTCAGGATTTGCTGCTAATAAGTGTTAGGACATCACTGAGGTTTTAACCAGTTTGATTCATGCTGTCTGTTTAATCAAAACTGATCAAAATTTGGGCTGGCCCGGTGGCGCACTGCTACAGTGCGCCGCTTGGGAAGCGCGGCGGCGCTCCCGCCGAGGGTTCGGATCCCATATACAGACCGGCCACTCACTGGCTGAGCGAAGTGCGGGCGCAACACCGTGGGTTGCGATCCCGTTGCCGGTCCCGGTCCCGTACGGGCGTGACACTGAGGGTTGCGATCC